CTCCCAATGAATGTGATATGTGACAGAGCCTGGCCTTCCTTGAAATGCACATCTCTCATGACAATGTGGCCGAACGAGGCGAGATAGAAACTGCAGTCCACTCCGGCCGGGATGGGAACAACTTTTGGAAACGCCAGCTCTATTCATATTATTTTGGGAAAATTGAACCACCAGCCGTTCACATCACCTTAGAAGATATAGTGTGAAAAAAACTTCCCATAGAAGGCATATATATTACTTAATTACTTTAATAACATATTTTTCATTTCATTTGACAATGCCTCACCGGATACTGAGAAAGGGTTGTCTTGAACGTTTGTCTGCCGAATTGTGCGATAAAGACGTCGCTCACTGTGATTTTTTCGTGTCTACTGACGATGTCCGTCACATGACAGACGAATGGCTCGCGACGCAGTCATCGGGGCGAATTATCCTCCGCACAGATCAACAGACAAAAGTCCAAGTCAACCCTCGTTCGGTATCTGGTCCGGCTAATCTGCGAGTCATTTCGACCCGCGTCCTCAAACGAAATGAAAGGTAAGGCCAATCTCCATTTAGTAAAGGAGTCTTCGAAGCCCAGCCTCTCTTCCTACTTCTTCACCTCAATCTCCCTAACCCGACTACAACTTTCCCTACACATTTTCCCAACTGAAGTGTGTATTTCCGTGTCTTGACCCGGTCGCCGGTACCTGTCTGTCCGCCCATCATGACGTCATCTTTACACGCAATCTACCGACTGTCGGCGGATCGCTGGCTGCAGCCAAGACGATTGGCACGAATGTCGCGTGTTTGCGGGGCCCTAGAGACATGACAACCAACGGACCATCCTCTCCCACTCTTCGTCCCACCACCGACGGGTGTGGTCTGTTGTCTGGGCCAAGCGAAAGTACCAAGTCGAGAGGAGGAGACGCGAAGTTGTCCCCGAACCGACGACCGACCGACCGACCGACCGACCGATCGCCGGTGCTGCTAGTGTCTGATTGGCTGGTCGGCTGGCTGGCTGGTCGGGCGGACAATCAGGGAGTGTCCGAGGTGGTTAGCCCGAATGCCGGTTGTGGGCCACCAGTTGGCGCATGTGTGTTTCGCCGCGCAGGCGCCGTGGTACGAAAGGAGGGTCTCGAGGAGAAGAGGGACGCAGAGCCGGACAGACTGGCCGGGTTGGGCAGACAGCTTTCTCAATTGTGTACACGTTGAAAAAACGCCCAATTTCAACTGCCAGTCAGGCCAGCAACAGAAAT